TGGTAAACAGTAGCAGTAAAAACTGAAGGACATGGATTATATAACTCAAATAAACAAACGAAGAAAACAAAGAATATTCCATTGGGGAGTCAGACAAGCTTTTAAGTTACTCAGAAGTTCCAATCAAGCTTCCCTGCCTAACTACCTTCGTCCTTCTTCATCAATAATTATTTTATTTTCTAATTAATAGTATAATAGTAGCTTTAGTTCTCTTTTAGAACAATTGTAAATTTCTAATTGTAAGGGCATAGGGGATAAGGGTACGAAGAATGTAACTTATTAGTTCAATTAAATAATCCTAACACTTAAGACGGAAAATGGATGCATTCTGTTCTATACATCAATAATGAATTAAAAAAATAATTTAAGAATATTTTTTATATTATTTTTTAATAATTTTTTATTTTATTTAAATAATTAATTTTTTATTTATTTAAGATTTATAATATTAAATAATTTACTTATTTAATAATATATAAAAATTATATAAAAATAAAAAATTATCTTTATATTATTATATAATAAATTATATAATAAAAAATAATTTTTTATATATTTTTAAACTTTTTATCTTAAAATTTGAATAAAAATCTTCAATTTAAAGTTTTGAGGTTTTACCCACTTAAAAATACACCCTCTAAGAGCAAAAAAATGGTGCGCTCGCTGGAAGCCGCATAATCAAGGCTGCAATCTCCCTAAGCCGAAGCTGAATTAAAAGGAGCAAGTCGTGAGTTTCTAGTTTGAGTCATAGCGTTATTTCGGCCCAAACTCTCAGTTGGATCGGGCGTGGTGTGGGTTCCTAAACTGGTTGGCATATTTTCAGAAAGGATCCGAGCTCGTTGCATCAGAAACTGGGAACTGCACAACAACGCATAAGAACCAGAAAAAGTTACGAGGAAAAATTAGTTTGGTTTTGATTCACATATTAAAGTCTCCATGTCAAGGCCTAAAGATGTCATGCCTACGCCCGAATCTGGTTTTACAAGGCACAAGGCCTTGGAGGAAGCCATTCCCGGTCCCAGCTTTTCATGCCCACTTCTCAAACTCAACCACGGCGGAGGAAGGAGACCTCTACTCTAATTTGTTAAGTAAATGCGCCAAAGCCTCAAACTGGCGCCATGGAGCAGCCATTCATGCTAAGTTTATTAAAGGGTCGGTTTCAACTTCCCTTTATCTCCACAATTATATGCTAAATGTGTATGTCAAATGCGGGGACCTTGTTAACGCTCACCAACTGTTCGATGAAATGCCCCGCCGGAATGTTGTCACTTGGTCTGCCATCATAGCTGGTTTCGTCCAACAGGGATTTCATAATGAAGCTCTTGCTTTGTTCTGCCGTATGGTTCGTGATGGAATGGTGAAACCTAATGAGTTCACGTTGGTTAGTGCGCTTCATGCATGCTCGTTGCATCAGGATTTGGCT